ATTCATACTCCATAGAAAGTTGCCGTCCACGAAAATTATTTCAGAGTCAGCCAGGCTCAGTCACGCCCCTTGCCGTATATCATTCTTTGACGTAATTCATTCTCACCCAAAGAGGTCTATTATGCATAAAGCCCAACATACACTAAATTTAACAATGTTGCTTTCAACATTTGCCCAGCCTTTGGTCATGCTTTGATGTAGTCAATCAACATGTTGCTTTCTATTTCTTTCAACAAAATTGAAAAAGGCTGGCAACGTATATGCTGAATCAACTGACTGTGTCTGTGCTGTGATGAATTCCTGATGTGTGGGCGGGTACCCATGAACCTAAATTAACCATAGATATTAGAGTAAATGTACTCTAATATCTATGAATTAACTGATCACAAGATGTCGTTAAAGGACAAGTGTTGGACCGAGTGTTGGACTGCGTTTGAGAAAAGAGATCATGAAGAAGCTGTTCGCTTACTACCATTAGTGAAGGAACCTAATAAAATTAAAAGAAAATATGACACACGTGATAATACTAGTTTACTTCATTTGTCTTCAAGGAATGGCTGGTTAGATGTTACAAAAGATCTCATCACTAGATATCACTGTGACCCACACGAAAGAAATGATGATGGTTGGACTTGTCTTCATTGGGCTGCATACGGTAATCGTGTTGATGTGATGAGATATCTCATTGATGAGTGTCACTGTGATCCAATGGCTGTTGACTGGATCGGGCGGACACCTCTTCACCATGCTGCTCGTTGGGGTAGTTCTGCAGCTGTTGAATATTTACTATCAACTGGTAAATGTGATCCATTGGCTAAAGACAATGAGGGGAGAACACCATTTAAACTAGCTAATACTGATACTCTTTCTGTCTTGAAGAAGTTTGGTGGCATAAAATCATCTCATCCAATTGATTCTTATGTTAACATCCTCCTTGTGGGTAATCCTGGAGCTGGTAAAAGTACTCTTAGTCACGTCATCAATGACACAGCAGCTAGTTTTACTCTTCTTGGTTCCTTTAGAAATGTTGGAGGGGTAGTGCCCTGTACTGCTGGCATCATTCCTTATAAACTACAACACAGGACACTGGGTAACATCATTCTTCATGATTTTGCTGGTCATTCGGAATACTACTCCAGTCACAGTGCTGTCATTGAGAATCTGTTACAAGGTTCTGGTGGTGTGTTCCTGATAGTAGTCAATATATTGGAGAAGGAACCAGTCAAACAGCTTCATCAGTGGCTAGCAGTTGTCAGAAATGAAGCACAGAAAACTCTTAATCCATGCCATGTTATTGTAATAGTCAGTCATGTGGATGAGATACTTTTTGAGAAGAAAAGGAGAAAGGAAGAAATACAGGAGA